AGGCCACCCAAAGACGCGGAAGAAAAAAGAAAGCGTAATAATAATAAACGGAGCAGATACAATAGGCCTTCGCAGCGCTTCGCTGCTCGGGCCTAAAAATAATAAACGGAGCAGATACAATAGGCCTTCGCAGCGCTTCGCTGCTCGGGCCTAATAATCCAGCAGTTGCTCAGGTCAATAAGGGGCTTTTCAGTGTTGAATTGGCATGTAGGTGTGTATTCTCCAGAAACTATTGTTTCCTCTAAATATTCAAAGCCAAGCAGGTTTGTCTTTACAATGATCCTGGATGTGTCACACCCTGTCTTCTTCTTCTTCTTCTTCCTTTCCGGTTAAATGGCGGGTGGCAACCAACTTAAGGTGCATTACCGCCACCTACTGTGCAGGAGTGTGAGTCAGAGCGAGGAGAGAAAAAAAAAATACATATATATATATAGAGAGAGAGAGAGAGAGAGAGAGAGAGAGAGAGAGAGAGAGAGAGAGAGAGAGAGAGAGAGAGAGAGAGAGAGAGAGAGAGAGAGAGAGAGAGAGAGAGAGAGAGAGAAATAATAAAAAACTAAATTCTACTAAATACCTTAATTTTCCTAAGAAACTCTAGCACCAACTTATAATTGGACCCACTGCCATTCAACAACGTTCTCAAATTCCAAATGCCACATCCTTTATCTTTCAACCTATCTATAAATTCACCCCTAATTACATCAAACTTACTACAAAAACACAAAACATGTTCTACCGTTTGTCACACCCTGTCCTGTCTCCCCTTGTGGTTTAGTCATGTGTCTCTGTTAATTGCTCCCACCTGCCTCTCGTTTTCCAATCATCCAAGTTCCCAACCCTCTTGTATTTAAACCCCTTCAGTTCTTTGTCTCGTGTTGGATCATTGTTTTATGTCAGCGTTGTTTTCGTCTCTCCCTCTTGGTCTTTGGTACTTTGCTCATAAAGTGAGCTTTGGATTTATCCCTGCTTCATTTTTGTTACTGGGTGTTTGCCTCCTGCCCTTTTGGGATTTTTATTTTGTCATCCAAAATAAAGGATTCTTCTTCCTGCCTCGTGTCATCCTGGGTCTGCGTCTTGGGTCCTAACCTCCTGCTCCTCAGCGTGACAGAATGGACCAACCACATCAGGACCCAGCGGTACCTTCAGCTTCACCTACATCCCAGGTTATGTACACCTATCATGGAGACCCGGACACTTGTCGGGGCTTCATTCAGGACTGCGCCCATAGTTTGGACATGGCATCATCTGAATTTAACAAGGTCTCCTTCGTGGTGCCTTGTTTGAGGGATGGACCTCTGGATTGGGCAGCAGACTATCTAGAGGTCCACCCAATCATGACTGTATCTTTTTGGGACTTTGCTGGGAAGTTAACGAGAGGCAGGTGGGAGCAATTAACAGAGACACATGACTAAACCATAAGGGGAGACAGGACAGGGTGTGACAGGATGGATTAAGCAGTCATGGCTCAATGGGGAAGAGTGATTCCCTGCAAGGTGCATGGTCTGATCCCAGCACCAGCAGAGAAATTACAGCCCACCACTTCTCAGGGATGAGTCAAATGCAGAGAAAGAATTTTGCAAAGAGAGATTAATAAAGTATCAACTAGCCCCATACTGCAGCTATTATGTTTTTAAGAGAAAACAGGCTGGAAAAAACTGCTCACAAGTTTAATTTCCAAGTTTGATTTACTAATGAATTTCATGGACACCTATTAAGTCAAAGTACACGATTTCCCCCTATCACTTCATCCCTTTCTTTCCATTCTTCGCACCCACCTCCCTCCTCCTCCCTTCTTTCTTTCCTTTGTTGTGTTGCCAGTGACTGCAGTATACCTGGCCGTCACTGCAGAACTGGTTTAACTTAAACAAATCTGTGCAACTAAAATCTTCTGGGTCTGCACTGGCCAGCACGGCGGGGTCCTACAATCAGAACAGCTGGCCCGGAGCTCAGAGAGACTGGGGAGAGGGAAGAGGGCGATATCAAAAACCCAGATCCCAAACATAAAAATGCTTGCAGCGCTCCGCTGGAGCCAGCAAAATGTCATCTTCTCGTTAATTCTCCCTCGGCCTGAGAAAGTCTGATCCATGACTCACAAACACAGATGCACAAGAAGATATGGTCATGTCAAAGTGCTCACACATGCAAGCGCTTTCAACTAGCCGAGGTCAGAACCTTTCAAGGAGACCTATACTACTGCTAACCCACAGGGCCCAGCTTTTACGACACCCCAGTCTCCTGTGTGTGTTGTTTTAGTGGAAGGTCGGGAGCTTATAGACGGGAAATGTGGCAAGATTCCCTGCAGACGTTTCACTACTTCATTGAAAAGTACAACATACTGTAGACTTCAGAGGATTCGCTATCTGAACAGCAGAAGACCAACCTGTGAAAGTGTCTCAAGCAAAAAGAAAGTGACAAAAACAGATCGAATCTAGTTTTGGGATTTAAAAGCTTGTTCACACGTATTTCTGTATTTCAGTCATAAAAAATGTACCTAAGATGGGCAGCTGAGGTAGCAGATTTTTTAATATGTCGTAACCCCCAGAATGAATCGATGAAGACCGAACATGCCCGAGGCCTTAAACAACAGCGTTTGTGCTGAACTGGTTGCTGTCCAGCTATTTTTTTAGTGTCCATCTCCTCTCTGCAGGGTAGAAAGCTTGTCTAGGATAGAGAACATCTGACCATAACAACTACCAACCACGTTTCCCCTCTCCTTCCTCCTCCTGCTTCTATCCCAACAGACTCATGACAGAACAACATAAATTTACATTTAATTATGACACACCTGAAGCTTTTCCTGCATATGGCCAAGTAATGACACCACACACATCCATGGTTGAGCAAGCATCTTCGAGAAGAAGTAAAAGCAAGCGCAATGTCCAGCTGCGGAAGTTCACACTTAGAAGCTGCATGGTACAGTCACAGTCTCCATCTGTTGGCCACAAGGAGCCCTCCACTTCAACAATACTACCCATGTGGCGAACACTGAAAAGGCTGAAATTTAGCTGACAAGACAGTTCATTAAAGTCACGAGGATCTAAATACTCGATCGTCATTAAAACCTTTACTCCCAGAGATTTTTCACCCAATAACAAAAATCTGCTTTGGATAGAATTATTTTTGGTTTCATAAGAAAAAGTTGCATAAAGGTGCTAAGAATCAAAACAAGTGACCAGTGAGAAATGTAATTCTGCACTGAAAAATGGCCAGTGTTTAAATGCTGGTGGTGGTCGGAGGGACTGGTGGCGCCAGTGCTCGGCAGCCTCGCCTCTGTCATCTGAAAAACGTCTTTTAAAGACCAAGACTGGAAGTATGAATAGGTGATGTGATCTAAAGCTAATTTTACATATTTGGCACTCTGACCATCTTTGGAATAAAAAAAAAAACAATACAAACCTGGCGTCTATGCAATCAGTAAGTTTCTTTTCTCTTTCCCTTTTTTTCTGGGGCTAGATGAATATCTAATTTTTTTTTTTAAATACATTGGAACCGAAGTAAACCTAACTCAACAAGTTAAGATAACAAGTTACAAACAATAAACAAGTGTGCCTTCTGGCAATGCAATTCATAAACAGAAGACTAATTACAAAAACGACTTTAGTTTGTGTGGGAGAAAACACAAATATGCAAATGACCTGTATTTGCTATTGCACCTTCTAGAGTCCTGGAACCCCCCAAGGCACTTTACAACACAATCAGTCATTCACCCATTCACACACACATTCACACCCTGGTGGTGATGAGCTACATTGCAGCCACAGCTGCCACCGGTCTCTCTGAACACCACCAGCAGGCAAGATGTGTTAAGTGTCTTGCCCAAGGGCACAATGACAGCGACAGACTGAGTGGGGCTCGAACCTGCAACCTTCTGATTACAGGGCGAGCACTTAACTCCTGTGCCACCGTTGCACACACACACACACACACACACACACACACACACACAGTCTCAATTCAGATCATGGATAAAAACCATTAATCGTCTTGAAAAAAAATTCGTTCATTTTAGGTACAATTTTCTAATATTGAAGAATTGAATTTCCAAGAACATTCCAGATGGGTTTTTTCCTGACCGAAAAGAGAACATTGACTCTGCTCTTTGTAAAATTTTACTGAATGTTATTACAACTGAATGATATTGAAACAAGTGAGGCATGATGTGTCCTAAAATGCTCACCGGCACCGTTATCAGTGAACAATATTTATCAACAGACATGTAATGCATCTTTCCAACAGAGAAACATTGTAATCAAACCTGTACACAACAATAAAATATTAAATATTTTGATAATTATACTTAAAAATACATATTTTCTACTTGAGCCATGGCTCCACCTTCTTCTTAAAATTCCCATTCAACAATAGATCGAGGAGGGTAATACCTCACTGATGCGGACTTCGGCAAAGTGCAGATCAAGGCTGCAAAGGGAGCTTGGCCAAAGTTTGCACTTGATAAATGAGATACCCTACACACTCGCACCCCTGGATGGGAATGTGCCATTGAGGGGCACAAGGGAGGAAGTGTTAGTATCAGGACAGGGCCTTATTTTCTGATATTTGGACAGCTCGCCTTGGATTGGCTTATAGCAACGCGACGCTACCACTGACTCTGTTTGCCTTGCATTGTTGATGTTTTATCTCCACTAATAACACAAGCTTGAAGGAGTTCTGCCGTGTGGTGGAGTTGCTAATGCTAACAGTTAGTGGAGATGTTGGTTTAGCGTCCAGGAGAGGGCAGAAAACAACAGCCTTCCCTGTTTTTAGCCAAGATGGGTGAGTCCAAGCAACTGCTTGATGTAGATCTGTCAGGATTTTCAGTTCCTAGAGCTTCACCATCTATTTTCTAATCTAATGCAGGAGATAGGTGTAGGAGACCATTTTCATGTTCAAACTGCATGAAAAATCTCAGAATGACTGATTATAATCAGAAATAACCATTAAAACATGTGTTTTCAGTGAAGGACCACTATAAGTAATAACCTGCTTAATGCTCATAACCTCACCTCTCTGGCGATTCGGGATCAAAGCAAGTCTTGAGGACATCGGTGACATCTGGGTCACAGCAGTCTCCATCATCGTAGTCATAGTAGATGCTGTTGCACTCCTCATTACAAACCCCATCCTGTCTCTTCCAGTTGTAGCAGTGGCCTATCCTGAGACAGTCCCCTCCATCGTGGCCCGTCCTTGGGTGGTCACACTCTGGGTCACACTGGCGGTTCCCAATCTTGCCAATTCGGCAGTTGCTGAGGATAAATCTCCGTTGAAGGCTGGAATTTTTAACATTAAGGACACTCAAATCAAGGGTGATGTTGTAAGGCCGAAAAGCTTCATTTATAGCCTGATGCTGCATCTGGATCTGGGATTGAGTCACTGTTGGATTTCCACCGTCGTCATCAGAGAGGTTGACGATTTGGTAGAGAATGCGTTTGGAAGGATGCAGCTGCCAGTTGTTGTTGTACCCAGAGATGATGTCTGGGTTGTCGCATTGAGTCAGGCCACAAGGTGGCGGCAGGAACGTGGAGACAAGTTCTTGTTCAGGGACCGGAGTGGTGACAACAGCTGGGTGAAGGCCAGATTTATACGGGGTCCAGAAACGATGCACCTTAAGGACAATAAATGTTATTGTAACAGTTGCAGTTCACTTCTGATTTACATAACCAACAAGAATTCCCCAATATAAACAAATTCTAACAAATATATACGTTTGCATTACATAATGACTACACAGAGATTATATGAAAGCATTTACATCAGTAAAATCCCTCCACATGGCTACAACTGGCTTGTTCTGGTCAATCTGAAGTGGTGTTTTCAGTAGATCCTCGTGGGTGCGGGCATAGCCCCACAAGATCACTCCTCCAATGTGGCCCCTGAAGCTCTGTCCTTGGTCAGATTGTTTACCGCCAAGAAATAAGGTCCTGCAGGTCTGCATGAATGAGCTGTAGAGATTCCCAGACTGGAAACTACTTTCTCCAACCTGAGACAAAAACAGGAAATTAAAAAAATGATCAAGAAACAAGACGTAAACTTCCCCATATTTGAAAATATTATGAACATGAATAGACAATAATAATTTGATGGTTATTTTCCAGAAAATGATCGTGCAAGTATGCTTTAAATGCTTATGTCTGATAGAAGCGATGTAAGAACTTTGAGATCTATGTGATGTGTAAAAGCAAAAATGTAGACTGATGTAAAATCAAATTTTATCCAAAACACTTTTAAGACTTTACTGTCCATACAAACCTATATAAAAATGTTTATTTTTCCTAATATTAGATTATTAAAATTACAGGGCAAAAAGACTAAGCAGGCCTGTGTTTTGGATTGTTTTTGCCATCATTGTCTCCGTTTGACTGTGATGAAAAAGCTGAGAATGAAAAAATGAACCCAGAAGTTCTTCTAAACAAAAAAAATCACACACCTTAGCCCCATCGACATACAGGGTCATGCGGTGGCCGTTGTATGTTGCCATTAGGTGAGTCCAGGCATTAGCTTGGTACCGCTGGTGGCCGTAGACAGTGGTGGACTTCACAGCTCTGTCCGTACGAAGAGAGAAGTAGAATCGTGCGTCTTTGATTCCTGTTGCTTCCACAGTCTGAATGCCTACAGACCAGCCCTTCTCACTTAGTGAATGGGAGCAGTTGTCAAAGACACCTAGGACACAGTGAAGGGACTGTTATGCATGTTTTATAGAAGAAAACATGTCAAAATAAATAGTGATCTGAATGAAAACGGTCCTTTCTCACAATTAAACACAACCTGTGTCTGGGTCGTGTGTTGACAGACATCCTGTCAGACGACGAGGACATTTATCGTCAGTGCCGGGTGTTATATGCACAAGCAAATGTACTGTGTCGTCAATTTGGATATTGTTCTGTTAAAGTCAAACTTAACTTGTTTAGAGCTTACTGTACCTCACTGCACACAGCACATTTACGGTGGAACTATAAAACAGCCAGTATCCAGAGACTGCAGGTGGCTCACAACGATGCATTAAGACTTTTGGTAAAAAAAAGCCCAGATGGACTAGTGCTAGTGAATAGTTTGTTTCTGCTGGGGTCGGCACATTTAAAGCTGTTTTAAGAAATTTTATGTATAGATTTATATGCCGTCTTGATGTCTCCATGAACAGTGTCATCAACTCCGACTAATACTAGATATAGTGCTGTCCGCTACACCTCTAAACTGTGGAAGCACTGGTACGATTGTCTCTTGTAGGATACTTTTCTTCTTTTAACGGGTTTGTTGTTTTCTTTTTGATGCCACCTTTGTATATTTTTCTATGTATTCTTTGGACCGCGAGTCTGCAATAAAGGCTACTTACTTTCTTACTTACAACCACTTAATCTTTCCGAGCAGATTACACTTAAGAATTGAAAAAGCTGCACAGTGGCTGGGAAACAGACGGAGAGAAAACACTCAGAGCCAGAGAGAGAGCAGGAGGACGGAGTGAAGAAGGACGAACGTTTTTCACTAAGCCACGGCAAGGCCGTGATGTTTCCATCTGCTCATGCAACAGACGCAGACTCACATCTGCTGCCCAGATGTCAAACAACTGGGACGGCGAAGGGTCAGGGAACCCCTTCACCCTCCTCGGTGCGGTATGTGTGCACGCAGACACTTATGCATGTATGTGTGTGGTTTTATTCAGTGGGGAACTGTAGTGAAACGCTCTTGGAAGTGGGCCACTTTTTGGAGATGTTTCACTTTAAATATTTTGCACCAGGGTGGCTATTGACTCGTGAAATGCAAGTCTTGAGGACATGAAAATTACTCTAATTAGGGTTAGTCTATATTAGCGAAACAAATTGAAATCTAAAACTTTCACAATGCATTGCCAGACGTTTAGGTCTTTTCTTTGGAAACCCCACAGAAGTGCTGTACCATGCATACTATGCTGTGGGGATATAATATTTAATGGCACCCAACAGGAAGAGGGTGTTTTTTTTGTTTGTTTTTTGTTTTTTTGTGGTTCAGGCAACTCCAGATGAGAGCATTTTATTTGTAACGCAAAACAACAACGTTTATGGTAAATGTGTTTTTAATTTTGTGAAACATTGCACTGCCATGCATTAACACAGCCATTGCACTGAATCAAATTAGATGCTGATGTTTCTAAGCGGCATTTATTTTTAAAACAGGCCACAAAGCCCTGGCAAGCATGCTAGCAAGCAATCTTCTTTTCACACATTGACTTTTATAGAAACTCCAATACTCACTCAGCTCCAACATCGGTGGTGTTTGGTGTATTTTGTTTTACTTATTTGTTTGTTTATTTAGCTCATCCTGATAGTTGTTTGTTGAGTCATTGGTGTAATGTCCTGACATCTACTTGGTCTCTGCATTAACATGTCTGTTTAGATTCTGATTCATCTGGGAAAAGGGAATGCTAAGAGTATCTGAATCAATCCTATTTCAGAAAAAAAATGTTTTGACATCTACTCCCAATTATTAACAACACCATTTAATTACAGACAAAAATATGATCAATGTGGTGGTGCCTATCTCCAGCGGTCAATGGACAATCAGGCGGGGTACATCCTGGACAGAGAGCCAGTCCATCGCAGGGCAACACAGAGACACACAGGACAAACAATCATGCACACACACACACACACACTCACACCTAAGGACAATTTAGACAGACTAATTAACCTAACAGTCATGTTTTTGGACTGTGGGAGGAAGAGGGAGTACCCGGAGAGAACCCACGCATGCACAGGGAGAACATGCAAACTCCATGCAGAAAGATCCCAGGCCGGGACGTGGCCGGACCATATATTCACAAATATAGGATGGCTTGCCAGGCAATGCCCAAGTGACTGGGTAGAGGGAAGTCTGCCCCTCTCTGCTTAGGTTGCTGCTTCCACTACCTGACTCAGGATAAGCAGAGGAAAATGGATGGAATAGTACAACTTTACGACACGGTAAATAGTTAAATGGCCCAGTGGGGAGACAGTGATATCTAGTGGCACAAACTGCAAATTGCAACCAAGAAAAATAAATAACACTTGGAAAGAAGATGAAGAGAATAACCAAATAGAGCTTTAATATGATGGCTAAATCCATATGTGGCTCAATCAAAAGTATTTTTTGTTTGTTTTTATTGTCACACTTCACCATTTTAAAGCATGAAACAAACTTAAATATAAATAAAAGGCAGTATTCAAGGAAATGTAATTTATTATGGTAAAAAGGGGATTCTAAACCAACACGTCTTTCCTATTGTTGAGTCATAAACTCTAACACGAGTGAGACCCAAAGTGCCAAATGACGCCTCTACGACCACCCAAAGCCCTTTACTCTTACACATGCACACACACTCATACTCCTGATTTACAGATGGGGTGGACACTTCCACTTGTCATAAGGGGGGCTGAGACCCAATCACCACCTTCCAATTTGTAGCTGATGGATTTAGAGTATGTTACTTCTTGAGATCTTTTAGCCTTCTTTTATGTTTCAAGATTCTATCGAAGCGATTCTTAATTCTGGACTGGTAGTAATCCAGCCCGAGTGTAGATAGTTCGAAACATCCCAGCTTTTCACATGACGTAGTTAATCAATGTTGTTTCATGATTACCAAGGGGAATTCTCACTTTTTTTAACATTGTGCCAGTTTGGTTTACCGTAAATCCTCTAATATTAGCCTGTATTTAATTAACTGCCGGGTATCATATTTTGGCCGGTGTCGGAGTCGGTGAATAATGGCCGGTTTTTTATTGTGGCCGGGTGGAATGTGGTAACAAGCAAGTACGGGGGGCGGTTGTGTCATCCGTCTCACTTTTGATTTGCCAGTGATAGACCGCGAGGGTAACTTTAACCGTGCAGAGACGAAGAGGAGGCGAAAATTTGATATCAAGTTCAAAGAGAACGTGCTGATTATGCTGCAGAACACTCTGGGGAGCAGTAGGGGTTGTATGAACTAGTCGACTTCACCGCTCTATAGTGACTTTTTATGCCTGTCATCAACTAGTCGCTGTCACGTGATAATGACCAGCAAGATGCAGTCCTCGGAAAAGACAGCAGCCTGCTGTCAGCAGGTGACAAGCTCCTGCGCGTCAGGAGGCAATGCGCTGTGCCAGAGCGTCGCCACTGACACCTGCCGTAAAACGGACATTTAACCAAATTGTGACGTTTACCCTCTTGCAATTTAACATTCCCCTCACCCCCATCCTAACCTTAACCAGCTTGTGCATGCAAAGCTCTGATTGTTGACGCGCTCCATACATCTGCGTCCTGAGCACGGCCACAGTAACATGATCAAATCAGGTGTTGCCACCTCAAAAACAAATTTAACATGCAATCGTTCATGTCGGCTCATTTCCTTTTATGTTTTCTGTCTTTTATTCTTTTATTTGTGCCTGATGTGTTTCGCTGCTGTGGATCAGGGCGCATCACCTGTTTTGTCCTCGGTGACACACCTAACTGATGTGGCCGGCGAGCACTCCGCTGTTTTTGCGGTCGGTAGATCTTTTAGAACTGCAGTTCAAAGGTAACTCATGAGGTGAATATATATGAACCCAGGTAGCAGTTTTTCTTTAGGATTGAGAGGAGATGCAGGAAGATAATAAACAGGCAGGACAGAAAAATAGTCAAATAAAAACAAGTTAGTTTTTGTACCTGGTGGTTGTAACAAACAGACACCACTGAAGGTAATCAGAAGTGAGGAACAGAAAATGAAATAATTATTTTAATGTTTAGAGCAGCAGGAACTCTGAGAGGCTGCAGGCGCATCAGTGAGTTTGCGGCCGCTGCGCAGGGGGAGGGGGGAGGGCTGAAGCAGAAACTACCGTTGTTAAAAGAAATGTGTTTAACTTTGAAAATGTGGGCGCAATTTTAATTGTCAAAAACTCCAATGAACATTACTTCATTTTGCTCAAATGGAAATAGAGGCCTGCCTCTATTACTGGCCCTCTTTCCAATAAAGGCCTGGAGCTTGATGAGCTTGAGTCAAATACAGGCCTGGGCCTGTATTAGAGGATTTACGGTATATTAGCTTTAATAGGTTTAATAAAGCATGCATAGAAAAGTCCCCATTGCTTTGTTTATTATGTAAAACAGGATTTTTTTTCTGTCAGCGTCACAGCTACTAGAAACAAAAGGATGTTGTTTGTTTTGAATGTATTTGTCAAATTCCTTCAGGACACTACAAAGAAAAGAGCCCATGCCAAAAAATGCCGTTCTCACATAAGGAAGCAACGTGGTGGAAGACAGTTGTGTAACGCAGTAGGATCTTTGATCACAGTAAATGTGAGCAGACGTAACAGTTTGTGGTCTCCCTCGCTATCGGGACAGCTGAGGTGCTGCGCCCTGGCACTTTCATTCTCTTCAGTGTGTTTGATCATTTGTGTTTGTCTGTCAGGAGTGCAGCTTTTCAAATGCAACACTTTTCTTATTTCTAAATGTTAGAAAAACAAGGATGTTCGTCGTCATGTGAAGAGCATGCAAAGCCGAAGCTTTCCTTGGATCAGAGTGTCTGTGGCTGCTGTTCAGACTCAATAAAATCTGTCAGGCAACTCTGAGCAGAGAAGGGAAACACACACTGGGAATTTTTGTGGTTAGGTAACCACGTGTTTTCAGATGTTAAGTCTGTGTCCAAAGGGGAAATATTGTTTCGTTTGTGCTGCAGCAACATGAAAACAAAAGTAAGTTCCAGGCTTAGAGACACTTCTTTATTTTTGAACTAGGAAAATACAGCAAAATAATGGCACTGCTTTTATATTAAACCCTAACACGTCTTCATAATAACCACTACTGACCTAATTTCAAGCAATGAATCACAACAGATCATTCTTTCACTCCTCGTGCAGAAATATGATGTAGATGGGGAGGTTTGTTCGCCACCTCTTTATAATGACTTTCTTTTTGTTAGTTTCCAGGGATGCATGTTCCAGGGTTCATTTATTAACTTAGAAATTTAGAAAAAAACTTAAATGCTTTTTTATAACACATCGAAGCCCATGGCCACTGAGTTACTGGTCAAAAACATTTCATTAAATAACAATATGAAGCTGAGAAGGTTGAATGGTAACTTACAATATTTTATAAGTATTTCAACAGTATTTCGGGCTGCACCAGAAAGTCTTATATCTGGTCTAATGTGAGTGAAAGTTAATAATAATGAGGAGGATGAAGTTAAAGCAGAGATAGAAGAAGGCAGAATAGCTGCGGTGGTGCGTTAGTGGAGCATGGTTACACCCACCTGCTATGACCGCGGGGTTGCTCTGCCCGCCCTCCGGCTTCACCCACAACTCCAGGCTGAACCTGGCCCGTGGCAGCTCCACTCCCTCGGCCAGCTTCACCTTCAGCTGCTCCCAGTGCCCGCGGAAGTACAGAGCGGTCATCCAGGAGGGGGGCACTCTGGGCACGGGACCGCTCCAGGGTGAGCTACCCGGCGGGTCCGTCTCCTCCACCTCTCCGGAATAATCCTCCGCGCCATCCTCCAGGGTCACCGTGGAAGACTGGTTGTCGCCGTCCCTCTGCGGTAGGTCTTGGGGGACCCGGAGGCCACCGTGGTGTGCCGAGCTGTTGGGAGAAACTTTCTCCCACTTGGCATGTCCCCCTTCCTCATAGCGAAGCTTCGCGTCTGGGCTGCGGGGAAACCTGGAGCTATAGCTGCGCGGGGACGGCGCACGGCTCCCGGGTTCCTGCGACGCGCCTCCATGGGCATTATTTGACTCTTTCTCGTGTTTTGAGATTTTGTTCTCATATAACCTTTCGAGTAACTTAACTTGTCCACCGCCTGCTCTCACCTCCGCCTCTTGGCCAGCGCCCCAGCCGCCGCTGTCCTCCCCAGCAGGAGCGACCTGTCGGACCCCGGTGTCGGACCTGCACTCGCCTGCGCAAACCCGAGCGCTCAGGACGGGGTAAAGCGCACCTCGGCTGGTAGCCGCTAGGGGACGGTGTTGGACCGGGGAAAGGGCGCGGGGCTGCCTGCGGGACCGCCAGACGCCGGAGACGGTGCAGGGTTCACCTGCTAGTCTGGACAGCTCTCGGTCCGCCCGCCGGGCCAATGAGCTCTTGTACCGCCTAAGCGCATCTGATCGAACTGGACTGAGTAGCCACGTGTTTGTGATGAGGATGAGGAAGATTGCTATTAGTCTGATAAACAACATTTTCTCTGACTAGTCTGCGTTTGTTCTGAATAAAGACAAAACCAAACCTGCTTAAAAGCCTTACACCAGATTATGTTCAGACCATTTAAAACATCTGCACAGATTACCCATCCGTAAATCTGATTTAAACTTTCTCTCTTAAATAAGATTAGAATAAAGAATCAGCAAAGTCACACAAGGAAAAGTACACAGAATTTGAGATTATTATTTGTAGATTTCGAATAATGTAGATAATGTTTTTAATTTAAAATAAAAATATATATAGTCAGCTAAATTAAATAATTTCTTGGCGCAGCTGCAGTCGTTTTTTATAGCTTTGCCTCTTTCATATCAGTCTAAACGCAAGACGAGGACGCCACGGCTGACTTGGTGTCAGAATCACCAACGTGACAAAGGAAGGTGCATAACTAAATTCTGGTTTAATCACATTTACAAAATCACTCTCATCCGAGTTTATCCAAAACACGCGTTACAAAAGTCCTCCTGGTACTTTTTACCTGCCCATTGTCGCACCTTTTAGCGCGTCCTGTTCCAAAAACATGACCGCAAGGTGAGTTTGGCCAACTCCAAAAGCAAACACCGCACTGAGCAAAGTGTCAACAGCTCCCCTAGAAGACGCTGTCCTGTAATAGGAGGACAGAAACAAACGAGTCCCATAAATCACTGTCCGGTGTCTGCTCGCGATTCAGCGTGCGCCTCTCTGCTGCTGCTGCTGCACCGGTCCAGGCAATAGTAGTAGTAATGTCCTCCTCCATTCACTTCTCCATCTCCTCCTCCTCCTCTCTCTCTCTCTCTCTCTCTCTCTTGCTCTCCTTCATTCCAGTCCAAAGGTTTTTATCAGGGAGCCCCTGCTCGCACTGACATCACCGTTAGGGGAAGTGTAGTGGTGGAGGTGGAGGGGTGGGGGTGCGTCCTGCCCTTGCTTCACACTTGAGTTTTACAAGGGAAATCCTCTTCTCCTCTTCCAGCCCTTGCCTGGTCTCTCTGCATCTCTCTGATCCATGAGTGCAGACAGGAAAAAGGGCTGTTGCAGGTTGGATGGCTGTCAGAAGTGTGTTGACAAAGCAACCTGCAGGAACTTTTACTTTGCATTTTATCTGGTTATTGATCACAATATATGCATGCAGCAGCTTAAAGCAGTGGAGCATGGAGGTGTGTGTCTAACCCTTGCAGCACTTTCTCAAATGTCTACAATCAAAACATGTCTCGGTCATTTGCCGATAGGAGGTGATAAAAGATTCAATATCCACAGTTTTCTGAGTTCATATTCTGTAAATTAAGCTGCATTTGGAGTTTTATTAATAAAAATACCAAATGATGCTCTTCATTCAGATGTTTGTTCGTTTTTTGTTTGTTTGTTTGTTTTGTTTTGTTTATTGTGTTATTTGGAGAGGACAATACACATTAATGAGCACTAGTTTGTGTAAATGCACCAGATGTAGCCATAGGCTATGGTCCTCAAAGAACAACATACATTTTAAACAACGATAAAAGGACAGAGATAGACATGCTTAACCCTGTAATTTTGATCTGATTACCCAGTCAGATCTACAAATGGTCAATTGGCTTTTAACCATTTGTAGGTTCTTTTTTCTTTAAGCAGCAAAGGCAAAACACTTTTGAATTAATCCTTAAGAACCCAAACCTTTTTAAATATAAAACAGATTGGAGTAAAGACATCAAAATGTAGAAAAACATTAATTAAAATAAAGAAATAGAATAATTTTTGATTTATGTGATGTCACTTGGAGTTGTTGAGCTTGAATATATAACTCCAGAGGTAATTTTGCAGATGTTTGAAATGCGATGTGACACCAGTGTCACCACGGATTAAAATTTGAATACCAGGGTACATACTCTTTCACAGTCTCCTCTACTGGCTTATCTGGTCCTAAGAGAGCTGTTTTTATCACACTTTGGTAACACTTTACAATAAGGGTCCTTTAATTAACACTTCTTATTGCATTATTAAGCATAAAATATTATTACCTGTTTAACTTTATGCCAATTATTATGTAATACTAAGTAGGCCACCCCCTTTGATAATTAATGCTCAATAATGCAATAAGTAATGTTAATAAATGAGCTCTTTGTTAATTAATGCTTAATGATGCACTAAGTATTGTTAATGAAGGGGTTCTTTGTTAATTAACGATCAATAAAGCACTAAGTAATGCTAATAAAGGGACTCTTTGTTAATAATGCTTAATAATGCATTAAGTATTGTTAATAAAGGGGCTCTTTGTTAATTAATGATCAATAATGCACTACGTAATGCTAATAAAGGGACTCTTTGTTAATTAATGCTTAATTATGCACTGAGTAATGTTAATAAAAGGACCCATTTTGTAAAGTGTTATCTTTTTTGTGTGTTTAATAAAATTCTCCAAGGGGAGGGACCAAACCATGAAGGGATTAATAAACAATGCAAGCATATTTGAAACCTTTGAAGTTTTCCAAACTCTAAAGGATCTATTTTTATACAATTGGACAATAATTGCATGAATATGATATATATTTTTTTTGTCTTGCGAAAACTTTAGTTGCTTCTGTTCTGCCGACTTAAGAGCAGAGATGGCAGCAAATGATTAGACAGTAAAATGGTACTAGATACGTGGTAAGATGGACGACGTTGAGGGTGAGAGACCTTCGGTGTACACATTTGGAGAAACACTTTTTCTAACTAGCTTTTCGTCCTCCTGCCTTCCTTGCAACAGCCCTTTCTCTCCACAGTGGTACAAAACATCTGTCCTGCACATGAAAAAGACCCATCCAAGTATGCTGCCCTGTTTATGCGGAGTTCTCTTCAAGGTCAATTCAGGGTCAAAACAGTCAGCAAAAGCAGCTGGTGACACATAGATGACATAATAACAGCAAAGGTTGCATGCTTAAACTGTTTAGATGGTGGAAGAGTTGACTGCAAATCAAATATTAGGCGAAACTCCAAGTTTAGCAACGATATCCACTGCTGTGGCATTGAAAAGGCTCTTTTTCCCCATTGTTCTTCCTTTTTGTGTGTTTTTGCAGCTTAGCAGACATAAAAGAATGTTTTTGCTCAAATAAATACTTTTCACAATGGTGAAAATAACTGGCAGCTACTTAAGGTGTGCTAATTCAAAAGACCGGTGTGGACAGATGTTTCCAGATGCAGCAAGCAATATGTATACTTCAATCTTTACAAACACCCCAAAACGTTTGTGTTTAGGTTTTTTTAAGGTTTTCACAGAAATGTGGTATAAGTAAAAAAAAAAAAAATCATCTTGCTTTTGTACCACACCCTCTGAAAAGTTGCCCCCTTCTTTCACCCCCAGGTTTTGTTTCTTTTTTTGTCAGGCTCAATTTGCAAACAGGGCCCTGGCTGGAGATGGAGATGGAGGAGGAGGAGGAGGAGGAGGAGGAGGAGGCTACTGGCAGTTATGGCAGGGGCCCCCGAACGGGCAAAAAACAGTTCCTGAAGAGTGGGAGGCAGGAATTCCTCAAACCCAGCCCGTCTGACTGGGATCTGCTGCCTGCTAAACGTTTGGCTTTTGCTGCAGGCCAAGTATCTTTTTGAAGTGTAGCCGTGGCTGTGATGGGTGGCGGCTAAAAACAAAACAGGAGAAATAAGGAGAGGAGCGGAGAGAAGAGAACCACACAAAAAGAAGGAGGAAGGTGAAAAAGAAATGTGTCTGGTGAAGGAGTGAAGGCTTAAATGGGCATGCTCCGCAGGGGCCTCGACCCCCACTGCCAGGGACCACCACAGATTATCCTTCATCTGAGATGGTCTGCTTGACCTCAGCAACCCCGATGCTTGCACCCCCCCCCCCCCCACCCCCAACCTGTTTCTCTCTTACCTCTGTAACATCCAGCTCCACCCTGACTGAGCCACACACACACACATGCACAAAAGAGGGGGACCCGATGGGAGAAAATCCAGGCTGATGTAGATAAATGGAGAAAGGAAAAAAAGGAGGAGAGCAGGCTTTTCACCACCAATATTAAAAAAGAGAGGAGGGGGATGGGCTCAGGAGGACAAATGCAACATGGTGTGCACACAGCACTGCAGGTGTTTTACTCATGGGACTCAGAAGCTGGAGCTGAATGCAGGAAGCATTCAGGGGCAGAAACCCTGCAGCTTACATTAATGCAAAAATGTATTTTCTAACACTTTAAACGTTTTACTTTGACGACGTAAAAGCAAACAAATATCAGCAAAATACAAAGAAATTGACATGGTGGTCCTTTTCTGTGAAATCTACCAACTTTTCCATGCACCTTTCCTTTTGCTGGGAAAAAAAAGTTATTTCACAGCCCAACTGAGCTCCACTATGATAAACTTCTTCCGCAAACAAAAACATGGGAAAATCCATGTCTTGCATGCCTACGTAGACAACCCCCCTCGTGTTTGTCTAAGTAGAGGTAAAGGTGGAAAAACAAGTAGCAGGTTGAATAAACTGTGAGTGAATATTTTAGTGCTTCTTGTGTTTTATTTGCAGAGCTGCAGGTGGATGCCTGAAAGACACAACTCTGTGTATCTTGGCTTAATCACTGATTCTTGGAGTGACCAAGTAAAAGCAACTAAAATATGAGCCTCTGAATAAAATCTAGATTTGAAAGGATCAAAAAATGTAAAATGAAGTAAATATGGTTTTGTTGATATTAAATTTACAATTTAATATTTTAGGGGGGGAAATGGATGCATGGATATTTTAATCTTGCTTCTGCCTGCATTATGAATATCAACCTTGTTCTATATTCATGGTTATATGATATTACTAATTTAGTTTTAGAAAATGAAAACGGAAAACCTAAAGACGTATCAATGGAACTCATGAACACACACACACACATGTCTGTCTTTCTATCATAGTGAGGACTTTCCATTGACTTCCATTCATTTTTGTGACTCCACTATGCCTAACCCATACCCATACCCTACCCATAACCAATGCTGAGCTATTGCTAACCCTATAACAACTTAATTCACACCATATCTCTAAAACCCGCTGGTAAGCTTTTTTAAAAAATGAGGACCAGAAAAATGTCCTCACTTATAGGGAAAATTGTGAAAATGGTGTTCAGTAATTCCCCTCAAGAAATCACATCACTCATGTTCTTAAAAACCTACACTGGTTGCCAATAGGATCATATGCAAGATCCTACTACTTACATTTAAATCTGCATGGCTCCACTTTATCTATGTAATTTACTAACTATTGCTACCACTTCCCGATCTCTTAGATCCTCATCTGCACTTCATCTGGTTCAACCTCGAGCTCGCCTTACCACCATGGGGAGCAGAGCTTTCAGTTGCTCTGCTCCACGGCTCTGGGACTCACTTCCCTCTGTCATTAGAAATACGGACCCTTTTCCATTATTCAAGGGGCACACCTGAAAACCCACTTATTCAAACAAGTTTATTCCCTTTAGACCTAGACTTTAGAATTGTTTCAAAATTGTATGTATCTTGTTTGTTTTTATTGCCCTATCTAACCTCTGTTGTTTTTTGTTTTTATCTTTGTAAGGTTACCTTGGGTTTGAGAAAGGCGCCCTCAAATAAAATGTATTATTATTATTATTATTATTATTATTATTATTATTATTATTCAGTATGTAGTAAGTACTAGAAAACACACACACACACACACACACACACACACACGTGCGCGCGCGCGCGCCGTTGGCGAAATGCATCCTCTAATTGCACAAACTCCTCTCCGCTAGAGAGCGGTAATTGAAAACACGGGGCAAAGTGGGGATCCTTCTCTGCAGTTAACAGGAGAAGAAGAAGAAGCTAACGGGAACTAGCAGGCTAATCTCCACAACGCTGTCGTGGTTTTGTGATTCCCTGTTTCAGTATTCGTGTTTTTTTTCCCTCACATATTTTTGTGTTTTATAACTTGGTAACCTAACTATACCCAAGTGACAAGCGCCCGACAAACACCGGTGGACACGGTTTACAGTAGCTCTGTATGAGCACTTCTGCTTTTCTCCCAGGATACTAGCGTATCACCAAGGCAGCTAAGTCGGCTAAAGGAGCCCAACAACAGCGCTGTCCGGATGCTTTGAACAGCAACGGAGCCGATTTTTGGTGGAGTTTTCAAAGCCGGTCTTGCGTGATGTCAAGCAACCGGCCGCAGTCAAACAGTGGCGGGGCAAGTTCGGTGCCTAGCACCAGCAGCAGTAGCGCAGGAGGCAGCGGGAGCACCACCGTAACAAGTAATGGTAACTCTTCTGGGAACGTTGTACCCTCCCGGGCTATAGCAGCCGGCGAGAGCGGCTTGTCTGTACCAACTCTGTCCGCCGTTTCGTCCCGGGGCGAGTTCTCTTCCCTCAGCAGACCATCTTCAACCTCGGGAAGCAGGAAGAGATCCCTCCATCCAACACCTTTATACAACGGCCTGTTGGATTCATACGAAGATAAAAGCAATGACTTTGTCTGGTGAGCTCTCTGTCAGCTAACCGAGACTGTGCTGTGAAAGCTGAGTTTCTGATTCATATTTGTCTTTTCTTTTAGCCCAATTTGCTTTGAAATGATAGAGGGGGCGCACATGACAAAGTGTGGCCACAGTTTCTGGTGAGTGTGGAGCTGCAGCTCGGGTTGAATTGAATGAAACACCTTAGAAACACTATTCACTCACAGATAGTGGCTGTTATTCATGTTGTTTACAGTTAGGAGTCCGTTTGAACGGCGAATCTACTAGTTTTTAGTTATTAAAACTAACATTTTACATTCGTTTTCGCAAAAACTGTTAGTAAGGTGATTCTAATGAAATGCCCATCAAATAGATGGAATAGGTCAGTTTAAAACTAAATGAATGCAATCCTTATTTAACAAGTAAAGATCCTTGAGATTTAAAATGCCGTCTGCCAGAGTTACCTGGCCCAGACAGGCAGCGGCAGGTGATTGAATGTTTAAAAAATGTTGAAAAACCAGTTTGAATTCTGTCAGTGAGACATATTCTTTCAGATTGAGTCAGTTTTGGAGCTAATTCCTATAATAAAGGGCAGAATGTTTGAGTAGCTTAAAGGGGAACAAGTCGTGTCCACACCTTTGGTTTGTTTGGGGGGATCTGAGTATAATCGGAGAAAACCAAGAGTATTTTTTGAAGTGAGAAAACAAATACAATTATCAGTTGTATTGGAAAGGTCAGATTTTTTGCGGCAGACACTAGAGGGTGAGTTTTTTTTCATTCCGTGATTTTTAGAACAGACTTGTGTTTATTTCTGTGTTAAATGCTCCCCTTTCCCCTGTTGCAGTTTCAAGTGTATTCACAGGAGCTTGGAGGTCAGCAACAAGTGTCCCAAGTGTAACTGTATTATTGACAATGTGGCTCAGCTGTACCCCAACTTTCTAGGTGGGTGTTTTAAGTTGGATGGTTGTTTTTACAGTCATCATTTTGAGAATTTAGCTAGTTTCGTTTTAAAATAGGGTTGGGCATCGACTGGAACCGGGACCAACTGTTAGCTTTTTTTGGAATCGTTCAAAGTTTTTATTTTGATTCCTAGTAAGCCGACCGGAAGATGACACCAACACTCGTGTGTGTGTGAGCGTCAGAAGGCTGAACAATAACCTGTAAAGTCATCGTGCTAGAGCAGCTTTCTCTGTGGTGGACCACACCAGCTTCTGCCACAATAAATAATAATAATAAATCACATACAAAGTTGTGAAATTTCCTTTCTGAACTATTTCTGTTGAGAGTTTTAATGTTTAAATCTGTTAGATTGTTACTGACAGCAGCTGCATTTAAGTTTCACTTTCTGTTGTGACTGAATGCTGCTGCAGCATGGAGGTGTAGTTCTCAGTCATCCTGGACATGATCATCCTGAGAGTTTTAGCTGAAAACAGTTGCACGTTTCTGGATATGTTGGAGACATTTAGCCTCTCATCCCAGAGGCTGCTTCCAGACTTTGGTTGTGGTCAGAAACAAACACACTGGTTGTGCTGCAAGTCTTTTTCTTTTTTTCTCCAAAACATGTTTTGGTCTAAATGAAGGTGATGCTGTTGTTCATAGAATTAAAATTCATGTTGAAGTTAAGATTGTTTCATCAAGTAGGACCTGTGGTTAGCTGGCTCATGTAAAGCATGTCATGTCTTGAAAGAATCGGAATCGGGAATCAATAGGAACCAGAATCGTTCAAAATCAAACGATGCCCAACTCTAAAAATGTGATCAAGTCGGTGTTATCCTGCTCAAAGAAGGAGCTTATGTTGTTTCTCCTTGTCGCCCTCACTCTGCCTCTGCTGCCGTTTCCCAGTAAATGAGCTGATTCTTAAACAGAAACAACGGTCAGAGGAGAAGAGACTGAAATTAGATCATCCGGTGAGTGGTTCACATTTTATTCCTGCTTTGTCTTTTCCTTCTTTGTGACTCTCAAACTTGCAGACTTGTTTGTTTTAGAAAAATCTGTTTCTTCCTGCTGATCATTGTTTTCGACCCCTAGAACGGGCCGCAGTGGCAGGTCTTTCAGGATATTTTGAATCCGGATCAGGAGAACCTGGACCTTGCAAATGTCAATCTGATGTTGGAACTTCTGGTTCAGAAGAAGAAGCAGCTGGAAGCGGTAAGTCATTTTGTGCGTGTCTGCGAAGATGATTGTAAGAGTCATTTGTAGCCCATTCCTCGTTACCCTTAGCTAAGCAAGGAAGTGTGTTCCGAGTATAGAATTGGCACATGTGGCTGCAGAAATAATGTGCAGGCTTAGAATGAAATGCATAAAGGTTACTGCAGTAGAGGGAGAAGGTCAGATGTGAGGGTAGGAGATGTTCTCAGAAGAGTTGGGGCTTTAAGAGTTTCCTGGAGAGAGACATGGATGCCCCTGTTCTGGTTGAGTGACATGGGTCACGCCATCATCACGGAACGACACACCAAAAAAGTCAGAGTTGTCTTGAGTGTGACATCAGCACCCCTAGTCAATAACCCTCTAGTGACTGGAGTTTTGACATAAACTCCATTACCTGTTCTGTGATGAGACTTCTTGCATCCTGGATTAGATTAGGGCTGGACAATAATTCAATAACGATAAATATCCATCAATAGACGTGTGGTTAAATAGGAAAAAATGGATCAACAAAAACTTCAATGAAAGTTTCCTTTTTCCATCATAGCCTATTGGATAGCTTTATACTAGAGTCATTACTTAACCTAACCAATCAAAAACACAGACCCGAGCACGCTCCGTCACCAAGCCCTCCCCTCTGAAACCTAAACAGACAGCAAAACTTAAACAAGATGTTGCAGCAAGGAGAGGTGGAAGAAATTGTCCCGAAAAAGTGCTACAGTACTTCACCAGTGTGGCAATATTTTTATTCTTACAAGTAGGGATGCACCGATCAGGTTTTTTGCTGCCGATCACCGATACCGATATCATAGAATGCTGATCACCGATACCGATCACGTTCATTGGCCAGAAATTTTCTACAACATTATAATGAGTGCTACAAACTACATAATCTGGGAATAAAGGAAATGTAACCTAATCTAAAATGGTCTGTATGACCCCCAAATTCCACTACCTCCGCTCCGGTCCGCCCCCGCCTTCCGCAGCCACTCGCTTCCGAACTCAATTTTTACTGGTACCCGCTCTACAACGGCTCCGCTCCGGTGCGGAGACCTGAGGGGGGCAAACAAGCATGCGCGGGATTTTCGAGATCTTGCGATACAGTCCGAGCAATAAACGCGGAAGTTAGATCCAAACACCCGTTGTGTGGGAGAAACATCGGCATGAGCTGTTTAATCTGCCCATCATTTGTGTTGACAAATCAGCAGTGTTTGGATCAACAAAGTGTGATTACTTTGATAGTAGAAACTGTATTTATGGCTTATTTTTGTGCATTTAAACTTCAGCCGCCATTGATAGTTGTTAAAAGTTGTTAAACCTGTGCATATGAAACAAAAAACGCCTTTTGTTTATCGATTTATTGTGAAAAACGGAAATTGTGCTCGCTCCTTTTCCTGTTGGGCCGTTGTGATTTCTGTCCATTTACTGCGGAGGTGCTCCGGCGTCCGGCGAAAATAGAATCGATTCTATTTTTGCCAGATGCCGGAACAGAGGGCGGCGCACGGCGCCGCACTGCCGGAGCACGGCCGCAGTAGTGGAATTGCTCTGATTGACTACAACGGGACCGATTTTGCTCCGGCGTTTGTGTCGGAGCGGAGCGCAGCGGAGCGGAGGTAGTGGAATTTGGGGGTTAGGGTTGTCACGGTGTGAAAATTTAACCTCACGGTTATTGTGACCAAAATTACCACGGTTTTTGGTATTATCGCGTTTTTTTTTAAACATGCTACATTTTCACACAATTAAATAAACCCTGTATATCAGGAAAATATTGTCCTCAGTTTGTGTCTAAATTTTTCCTAAAATGTGTTATTTTGTAATTAAGTAGTTTATTTGTTTACATTTTCCCCTTCAGTCTTTAAAATACCAATATTTGCCCATAACTTCTTATTTTATGTCTGTTTGATGTCATCATTTTAAAAATATTAGATCAGATGATACTCAGTACTCAAGTAGCCTTCTAATCAGATACTTTTTTACCCTTACTTGAGTAATCCGTATATCAGGAAAATATCGTCCTCGGTTTGTGTCCTTCCAGTGAGCTTTGCAGATGTGGGAAAATGTCATCAGGCAGTAATCGTTGTTAAATTCATAATTATTCTCGGAGAGAGACCAACTCTATCTGCCCCTGGGAGCCCCGTAATGCATAGCGTCATTTCAACATGGCGGTGTCCGCGACACGGTTTATATGCAGGTAGCGGCGCTGCGGCTGCTTTATATAGCGACTCATTGCATTCTCCCTCAACCCAAATCCTCGGATCACGCATTTTAGCTAAAACGCTAACGTTAGCTTGCCTTACGTTGACTGTAGAGTTGTGGGTGATGGTCACGCGGATGTGTCATGAGATTTGAAGTGTTGCTGCCTTTCACAGACACTTTTTCTGCTCGTGCTGCAAACAGGATAGCCGTCCGTCTTCCATAAACTCCCTCGGCATTCTTCACATATCTAAAAGATGCCTGTACTTCCGACTTTGTCTTCTTTGAGGGATAATAAATGTCCTCCTGAGCGCTGCCGTCTCCTCCTTTGACCATTATTTCAGCTTTAGCTTCAAGAAAGTTTTGTTGTAAACAATGCGCGCACGTGCCGCCGGCAACTTCAGCCGATGATACGGTGGCTGGTAAGGGTCACCGCGCCTACACCGCAGCCACGGTAAACCCACCAAGATAATATAGTTTTTTTAAAAACAAGACGGTTATTATTATTGTCAACTTTTTTTCTTTTTTTTTTTTTTACCGGGGTTTAGCGCTACACTGGTTACCGTGACAACCCTACCTGATCGGTTTGCTCTGATCTATTTTGAAAATTCCGATCAAAACCGATAGGGGCGCTATCGGCCGATTACGATCAAATGCCGATCCATCGGTGCATCCCTACTTACAAGTCTGACAAAAAACTAACAACGGTGGTTTGCAACGGAGAATCAATAAAAAACAATTCTTGTAATGTTACCTACGAATCGATACCGGTACTTAACGGTACCAATTTTCGATACTTTTGAGTGTTTATTATTTTAATTCTCTTTTATAATTAAATACATATTCTTCTCAATTTATAACCATATTTTATAAATATCATGATAAATAACATACAACTGTTTGTATTGTAACATCGTCCTTGTAGTTTTATAAGTTGATCATTAAACTGAAGCAAACATCTTTACTGTGAACTAAATTTTCTGTGTATCTTCATTCCTTTTGCCGTCTTTTTTCATTCGATTTTTCCTACTGGGAAGTTAGAATTTCCGAGGAGAAAGCGAACGCACCATTAGCGAAACGGAAGCTAAGCGTTCTTTCTACCCTTGCTGCTCTGTTTACAGTTCGCTCGCAGGGACCGACGTAACACTCTTGCGCATGCGCAGCTGTCTAGGCAAGTTCTCGTTACGAAGGACAGGTACCGAAACGAGGCACCGTTTGAAATGACGTGAATCGGTGCTCGGTTGGTACTATGGAATTCGGTCGGTACCTTAAAAAGTACCGAATTCGGTACCCATCCCTACAAATGACACTGGTTGATTATGCACAAAACCTCTGAAGCTGAATCAGTTTTTGAACTCTGAGCTTTGTGCACTGCTCAGTGTCAAAGTCAGACACCTAAATGAAGTCCATTTAAAGTATTTGTTCTGCAGATGTTTTTAGTGACAAAACAAAAATCTGCAGCAGCACAAGCTGCCCGAGGATGTGCCTGATTGAAAGTAAAGCAGTTTCCTGCTTTTCTGCCCTACTGGTTGAAAGTGGAATTGCAACTACCGTGAACAACCCAGCAGCAGCCTGCTGTAGCTAGTGCTACCAATGAGCTAAGACTAACATTAGCCAAGTCTTACTAAATAAGTCACAAATCAAAAGATCCACACTGTTGGACAAACAATGTTATCACTTACAAGTAGGGACTTTTTCACTTCCGGTACAAAACTGATATTGCAGCCTTTCAGTATTGACCGATACCGATATCAGTCAGATACGATATCAGCACAAATCAAACATACTTTTACCTGTTTCATAGTGTGGCATTTATGAAAGCCTTGATCAAGTGATATTACTCAATCAGAGAACAAGAGCCAATAACAGTAAGTATGAAAAAAATAAACTAAATTTTCTTAACCAGTGGTTGCAAAAATGTGACCCTTAACAGACTGCTTTTATCAGAGATTTTTGATGTTGTCCCATATAATCCGATGCACTGTTTTTGGGCTGGTATCGAATTACTTCTGATATTGATATCAGAACGGGACATCCCTACGTACAAGTCAAGTAGCAACAAACCAAGCTCACAAGCAGCCCGTGAGTTCATAGTCTTTTTCAGCTTCCTCAAACTAGTGTGGCCACGCCGAAGTTCACTCCAGTTTTAGCTCTTTGCTTCGCCTCCTACGACATTACCCTCTTACTTTTACTTTCAGGATCTGCCTTGATGCTGATAGAAAAGCAAACTTCTTTATCTTCTTGTGCTTTTTGTTGACCATCAGCAAACTGAAAAGGCTAACTGCTCAGAAAATGGCTAACAGCCGTAATGCAGATTTAAGAGCGCCCCCTAGAACACCTGCCCGCTCCACAAAACTGTTTAGTGCATTATCTGGCCAGCAGGGGGCATCAAATAGGAAACTGGTCAAGTTTCTAACCCAAATCACTGAGCTCAATGTTAAAGCACTAGCTTAAAGTATAAAAAAAACTATTTAGTGTTACTTTAAATCGACTTTGGGTAAAATAAACACCTACTTCTTAGGTGTGTTCTTGCTGTGTCGTATCTCTAATTCCATGCTTTAGTTCTTTTTTAAAACACAGAACAGTTTTGTTTACCTGTTTTTCCGCTACGTTTCGTTTGCGGCTGCAAACTTCCTCAGGCTGACGCTGATGGCGGCGTCACATCCTTCTCCATTTATCCGTGGGCCTAAACATAAACACATATAGGAAACCAACACACACAGACCAATATCTATTATGGACATCAGAACACCCCACCATACACAAAATGTCAGTAATCAGAACATTATATCACCGAGCAAACATGATAA